CTCGCTTATATTCGAACCTCGTATAAAATAAAGAGGAAGAAAAAAAAATTACTTCACTAGAAACAGAACGACAGGAGAAAGAAACTTACGAGAAGTATAGACTAATATTATAGTAGACTATACCTCGACAAGATGAAAACTTTAAATTTAAAAAAAAATGCTATAGATCAACAATTAATAAGTCATATATATATATATATATATATTTGTTTTTATTATTTTTTTTATGTCTAGAACGTAGTCCACTAGACAAGTACAAAGAGCAAACATTTCATAAAATAATATAGATTATATCTAGGGTTTTTTATCAGAATTTTTATTAAAGGCAAATAATCTATATTTAGTATTTACCGTATTTTTCTTGCTTATCGCAGACATTCCTAACATAGATTTTCTTGTAGACAAGGTCATACTTATTCTGTTTAATGCTTAGAAATAATAAAGCTAGTATTTAAGATTATTCATAGTAGAAATAAATTATTAAAACTTTAGACTGTCTATACACTATTATATAAAATCTATTATAATCCATTAGTACGAATGACTTCACTCTCATAATAATAGATCTTATCAAAAACTTTGATGAAAACTGAATTATATTGTAACTCATTCAATGACATTACTCAAATATATTTCCGACAAGAATTTTTTTACACTAAGTATCTAAGACATTATTCTTTACATCAGCTTATATCGTAAGATTACAAATTTATAATGCAGCTAATATGTTATGTTTGACCTTCGAAAGTATGTAGTCTTGATTCCTACAAGTACAATATTTTTGTTTCGAATGAATTGTAACTACCTTTCTCGAAGTTTCCAAATAATAAATATTAACATAAAATAAAGTAATTTGTGATAGTGCATTTTCATTCCATAAAATTGAATAACCTGCAAGAGATGAAATATTGTTTATATCTTGCAATTAATTTATTACCAGGTTTGCTTTTCTTTAACTAACTCAAATATCAGATGAATAATAAAAATTTCATTCATTACTTGTCCGTTTATTTTACTTAAAATCTATTCAAATGAGGAATGATACAAGGAATATATACATATACACCATGAACTATTTATGAACAATAGAGATGAACAGACAGATTATTAGAGATCGTAAAAGATAATAAAATTATGTTTGATTTACGATAAGGTCACAAAGACAAGTATACAAGTTGAATTTTAAACAGGTAGGGTCGAGTGAGCTTCGATTTTTCAAAATTCCATAAATATGAAATACTAATCAAATAATAGATCTTTTTAGATTTTATCATAACTGTGTGTTTTTTTATCGGCAGGAACTGAATCATAGATCACATTGTATATTAAATTGAATCGGGTAAATGTTAAAAAGAATCTCTCAAAATAAAAGATATTTCAGTACCATTTATTATTTTTAACAAGTATCTGAGGTTTGATTTGCCTTTCTATCTTCATGTTGGTATTTTTCAAACTGATTTTACCTCCACTACTTTATTTTTTCTATTAATAAAGAAAAACGATGTGACATAAAAAACAGATCAGATGAATAATTTTATTGGAAATTTCCTCAATTTCATTTTTTCTGACTGACGGAAAAATACTATCTTATTTCATTGAATCAATATTGAAACCAATCAAAATATTTTCCACCATATTGTAACAGACGCTTTTTATCCTCTAGACTTCATTTTGTCAGTACAATCAATGTTAAATTTGTATTGATTGTGTCGTTATATGTAATTCCTACCTATTCTTTCCCAATGTTTTCTTCATCCATGTTCTTTCTTCATTCATCGAGTTTGTAACACAACTAAAAATGCAAGCATCATCATCATCAACGTCATCAACAACAGCAAATACATCTGGTCCAGCATTACCAAAAGCTAGATTTAACTGGATATTTTCAGCTGATAAATTTTCCTCCACACCGTCAAATCGTGATGGAATATCATCTGAAGAAGAATTAGCTATACGACAACAAGGAGCTGTTTTTATATATGAATTAGGTACAAATTTAAAAGTGTATGTATTTTATTCTTATTTCTATTGAATTATATAAACAAATTTCTTCGATTTTTTTTCTAAGGCCACATTATTGTATTAATACAGCGGTTGTTTATATGCATCGTTTTTATATGATTAATTCGTTTCATCGATTTACTCGACAAGTAAATTGAAAAATAATTTTTTAAATATTTCATCATAATTATTTTATTGTGTTTTAGAGAGTATGTGCAGCATCGTTATTTCTTGCGTGTAAAGTC